AGGTTGGCAGCCATCGCTTCTAGGTTGGAGGCCATTGCTATTAGGTTAGCTTCTTGTTACTACTAGTAAGGCACTTGTTACTAGAAGCGATGCACTTGTTACTAGTAGCGAACATGTTACAAGCTTCCTCTAGTCATAAGTGACATAAGTGAAGTTTCCTCTGCCACTCGCCTTGAGTTCTGGCCTGAGCATTACTCTTGTGCCCGGGCGGATCTCACCCGAGTCGACAAAATTCAACTCCTGCGCAACTACAAGCAATGTGTGTTCAATAAAAAGAAACGCAATAAAACACGGTTACTGCAATAGAAAAACTGCAAATCTAAAAGCAAAGAGAGGAAGTTGGTCAACATCAAGGAAGGAGCACACGACGTGCAGTGTATGAACCTAAAATTTCCCCGCACAAACCTGAAATGGAACCGAACCTGAATGCACCTCACAGGAGGGGCTCCACTTTGTTGGACAACCATCACCACATACAGTGCAAAACTACTAGTTACATTTATATAGTTGCTAGTTCCTAGTCTACTTCAATACCGAATCGTTTCTGCAATTGTCCCTTCCACAATAGTCTCTTTTCGAATCCACTTTTGCTTGCCTGTCTTGTACGAATCTATCCTCATTCTGTCTGACACGCAACTGCTTCTTTGCTGCCCCTTTGCGTCCAACCACCTTTATCTTCATCTACCTAATCCACTTAACCAAGGCCAAAAGGTTGCCTCATTCATGATTGACCGTGTTCTATGGCATAGACATTTAGCAAGCAAACAAATAATGGCAAATCAAACAGAACGAACACGTGGAAAACGGTTACTGCACTGCAAACATTTGGAAGGTGAACAATGCCCTTGGCACCGCTCATTGACAACGAAAGCTATTAGACATTGAATTGTCCTTCCGGCCGGCACCATGAATTTTTTCCTTATACACCCGCTATCTGGGGTCTATGCCGGTGTAATCCTAATGTTTTTTCAATTATGGCCCGCTCTGCTAGTTCTTGCCTTGTCTGTCTTCCGTCCGTCCGTCCGTCCGTCCTTCCTTCCTTCCTTCCTTCTGTATTTGGTGTGGAATTCTGAATCAATTCTGGTCAATGCTGCTTGTTGACCGAACAATCACAATACGACGCGTTCACCACAGACTGTCCCACAAGAGTGTCCCACAAGAGTGTCCCGCAAGAGTGTCCCAAATGAGTGTCCCACAGGAGTGTCCCACAAGAGTGTCCCGCAAGAGTGTCCCGCAAGAGTGTCCCGCAAGAGTGTCTCACAAGAGTGTCCCACAAGAGTGTCCCGTAAGAGTGTCCCACAAGAGTGTCCTACAAGAGTGTCATTTGGACATATGTAGCTTTTTGAACGTGTTTGCATTCGGGTTCGTGGGCTCCATCTTGTTTGTACAAACAGTCGCTTCAGAGTTAGCATTTTGTGGCTCAAGGAACGAAATAAAGGCCTGGTGTTAACACAGCAATCACAAAAAACAAAAAGAATTACGGCAGCATAGGCCCCAAGTAGCAAAATTGTGGGCAGCACCACAGAAGCGGCCCCCGCAGCAGTACCAACACCCACGCTTTAACGCGCAGATTGCCACACATCTGGTGGTGGCACCCTATGGCAGCACCAGCATCCAGGCATCATACGCATCTGGCAGCGGCTCCCTGCAGGAACACCAGCACTAAGGATTCCGTTACAACTTTCCCTGCGTTCCCTCTTGTCCAAACAGCTACTCAAGTTCAGAGCTCGTCTCGCCGCTGCTGCCCAAGCTAATCTCAGCATTCACGCGAAGATAGTCTACTTTAACACATTTTCGCTCAGTCTTTTTTACTATGCGCAAACCCATAGATATTTTGCACCACAGTTACTGCAACCCCTATATCGAGCGCTTGCCAACTTCCTCCTGCGGCGCCACTGGTTCCCGCAACGAATTGGCCTGTTCCGATGGCTGCGTATCGGTCCGCTACTTGACCCGTCCATCATGCATGCTGTCTCCCTTTTTGGATGCTACCTCAGACAGGGGCATGAGTCTTTCTCGACTGAGCAAGCTGGTTCGTATGCGCAGCAAGTGCAACAATGCTGGGCTCACTTGCAAAAGCAGCTCCCGCCAGAAGACATTAAGCGGTTGCTTGCGATCCTGCGTCAACAAGAGATGCCTGCCCAGAGAGCGCACCATTTCAAATCGCACTTTAAATATGTGGCAGTTGCCTGTGTGGTAGACATGCCAGAACACATCCTGCTCACCGGATTGCCAGCAATGGATGGGCCCTCGGGCCATCCGATGCTTTTCTCCAGCGGTTAGCCAGCATCCCTGTTTCGCAAGTAGTCGCGGTCCCTCGCTTTGCAGTTTTGCGATGGGCGCTTGGGGAGGATGCAGACTTATGGTTGCCCCTTCGGGGTAAAGTCAGCCGCAGCCAACCGTGTATATGGTGTGGGTATTACACACGAAGCTTTCCTGCGGGGCCGGGCCATGGTGCACTATGTCAGCAGTGCCTTAGCCCGCTCCATCCGCGTGATTTGGCGCTAGCCTCTACCCTTACCTGTGTTGATTCTTCTGCTGTCAAGGTGCAGCGTTTCCCTCCGGTTTTGCTAGAATCGGCTCTGCTTCCTACCAAGGGCCTCTGCACCAATCGGTCGTTTAGCAAGGGTGCAACTATTGCCACCTTTGCCAACAATGACTGCAGGCTGCGTTTGTTGCTCATGCAGTATCGTCGTCTCCCTTTTCCTACTGCCACAGCATGCCTTCTTCCGTATACATGCCATTGTGGCGCCACACATCTTCGGCTGCAAGCTACTAACGACCTCCCGGCTGACGCCATTCTGCTCCTTGGTGAAGCCAAAGAGTGGCAAGGATGCCTGGTGCAATTTGATGGCTCAGCACACAAGATTACTCAAACAGGTGGCGCTGGCGTCAGCCTACTACAAGTTACACAAGATAACACTACCCTAGTGCACTGGCTTTCGCTACCTCTCTCGCCGTGCACGGATAATGTTGTTGCAGGAGCCAAGGCATGCCTCGCTGCCCTTGAATTAGCTTCTGAGCGCTACCTCTCCAGTCTTCGCCGAGGGGAACAGCTTGAGGGAGTAGTTGTCCAAGGCGATATTCTCCCCATCATTAATTATCTGCAGCATCGAGGACGGGTTAAAAAAGCATCTGTGGTAGCCAACCTAGATAAGTGTCAACACTCCTTGCTAACGCTCCTTTCGTCTTCCGTCTGGTTTACCTGCCGCGACTATTTTGCAGGGCGTGCAAGTCCAGTTGCCAAAGAAGCGGTCGCTGACCTTCCAACAGGCTCTCACTATGCTGCACCCCCACCTTTCCAGCTTGCGCAGCGATTAGGCTTCGTTATTGAGCAAGGTGATCGCACTAGTGCCCCTGCCTTTCTCCTCACAGAGTGTCCTTCGCTGGCACCGCCCGAACTTAGTACGCTTCTGCACCAGCAGCCGCAGCACCGTTTTACTGTCAGAGACTACCTTACTACTGCTGCCAAAGTCGGCAATCAAGTAGCAGTTGGTTATAAGCCTGCAGCGTATGACAGCGCAGGGCGGTACTATGCAGTTGGGAACACCGCCCAACGGCTGCCGCGGTCGGTACGCCTGCTCCTCTTTGGTGCAACACACTGGGAGGTCGATATGAGTGGTGCGCACTACGAGTTGGTCCGGCGGCTCTGCCGTGCGTCGAATGTGCACCTTGACTTCCTGCCTGTGGCCCAGGTCAGGGCGCTACCTTTCCCCCCCGAGTTACCCCTGACGACGCTGCGCTGATTGCCAAAAAATTGCCCCTGGTAGTCATCAACAGCGACACACCTCGCGAAGCGATTGCCTACCTTCGTAAGCAACTCGGGGAAGATCCTGTCCAGGAGGTGCATCGTTTTGCCCATGAAGTGCATGCTGCGAGCCGTTATGTCACGCTACACCCGCCGCAGTGGTGTGTGCCTCGACAGACCCACCTAGGTCGTTCTGCTCCGTTCCACTTCTTTGAAGTACTAGAGCAACATGTTGCCTGGGAAGCGTACCTCTTTCTCCAAGCTGCTGTAGGTTTCTCTTCGGCCATCTGGCTGCACGATGGTTTTTGGGTTGCTCCGTGCCCTAATGAGGAGTTGTTGCGAGACCTGAATTGTCACCTTGTTCGTAAGTTTGGGTTTGCTGCCTCTGATCCACTTCTTATGAGGTGTGACCACCTAGGCCGCAAGCGTGATGTGCTGATTACCCAATTGTCCTCCCATGTGTCGATATCCACCGGCATGCCTGCTGGTGCGGTAGTTCAGCATCCATTACCTCTCACTGCCCAGATTTGGCGCAAGCGCCGGTACCAAGCGGCAGACGAGCAACACCAGGCAGCTTTAGAACAACGTCTTGGCAAACGAGCGCCTGTAGCTAACGGCTAACGCTGTCAAACGAAGGCGGCTTCTCTAAGGCTCCAAAGCGCCAACGGCCATACACACCTCTCCAAATGTGCACGCAGGCATGGACAGCAGCACTTTGCAGCGGCACCAGCACCCAGGCTCCAAAGCGCACACAGGCGCCTGTTCCTGAAGTAAGAACTCCAATAGCTCTCGCTATCTCGGGACGAAGGGTGCACAGGAACGACATGTTTTACATTATCTATGCCTGTTACTAGTAGCTACTTGCTCCTAGTAGCGATGCCAGGAGCCCCTAGTAGCGTTCTTGCTC